CCGGAACCGGGAACACTTCTCATAACACCCGATGTACTTGCTACATCGTTAGAAGAATGGCATCTATGCTAATATTAGTCTGTGTCTCTCTTATTCCGAGGTCACCGTAGCCAACAGATCCAGTACGTATCATGCCCAGATGGTGGATCAGCACCTAGAAAGGACCTCTACAGCCCTGAATGTCAGCAGAGACCAGGACAACTAGATGAGCCCCAGATACAGATCCCCTGTAAAGACCTTGTCTCCTAGACGGCCACCGGGACAAGACCACAGGAACCAGACGAATCCTCTGCACAATCTGACTTTGCTGCAGCCTGGAACTGAACTGCTGGTTTCGTCTGGTCAGAGGACTTGACTTGATTGCACAGATACTATTTAAACTGAACTGAGCTGGATGATGACATCACTGAATTCAATGATGAACTGTCTTTAACTGAAAAATTAGTGTTTACTCTCATCCTTCTGCATTATTGACACATTATTTTCCTAATTAATACTGTACAGTTGCTTTGACACAATCTGTATTGTTAAAAGCGCTATATAAATAAAGGTGACTTGACTGGACACACACACACACACACACACACACACACAGACACCGCTCCCACGCTCCCACTCCCACACATGAACTCCGATCGGGTCTCTGAGAACATTTGTGGGCAGTAAAACAAACACGCGGTGCTTTATAAGGTGCCACATCTGCTACTATTAAAACAATCAAACAGCGACGCTCTGATATTTATGGTGGGCAGTGGATTAGACAGAGGGAACTCTGGGATTACTGCCGGCACACGATTGGAGCATATCCACTGAAGATCATGTTACCTGAACAGGTGCCAGAGAGATCACATGACCTCCACTGTAACCCATCCGTACAGCAGAGACCTCCACGGCTAACGCTCACGACTAGCAGACATATTCTACTTCCTGTCAGGGGATCATGTGATCTTGGGCTGGTCGGCTGCCGGGTGTTCTTCTTCGTCGTCCAGAGATGACTCTGGTACAGTACAGGACCAAAGAGAGACACTGGCTAACACAGCATGCTAACATCACCTGATCGCTCTGATTCACTCAGTCTGCTCGGGAGTTCTCAAAACTGAACATGAAGTTTGGGATCTTTAAAGCTTCTGTTTTGTTAGCTACATTATAAACTTGGTGAAATGGGTGACAACGTTACTCCTATATGCATTTAAGCTCCGTTAACACTGCCAGCGACTTTTTCGTTGTATGTCGCTAGACTCTGTGCTGTGAAGCGTTCCTACTGCTGTCGCTCTAATGTTAATGGTAGACTGCACGTCTGGACATATCTGGACATATAAAATGCAATCACAAACTATATATTGTCGGTAAAACTAAGATATCATTCTATTATGACTAGGAATTAGACTTAAAGGGTCATGAAACCCCCCGTTTCAGCATTGGTTAGTTCTCACCACAGTTTTAAAAAATGCTAAAAAAGTGTGCGTGGTGCGGAGCGGAGGAGGGGGAGGAGGGGAGACAGAACACACACAGCTTAGCGTTCAGACGGTTTCATTTCGTTACCATCGAGTTAAAAACACAAATAAATGCACAGCCATTTGCACTCTGCATCGAAAAACATATATATGAACGCGCTGTTGCACCTCTGAGAACTTTTAAGGCTTCGCATTTGTGCTGAACTCTTATTACAAAGCAAAAACAAACACTCTTCTTCCATCCATGAAGGTTTCTCTCAGTTATTGTGCTCGATGTCATCTCACAGTCTGAAGCGTCTGTCTCAGCAAATCAACACATGCTGTTGTGAATAATTAAGCGAAGCGTCTTCTCATTGGATAAGAACACGCAGTCTCATGAATAATTTAATAGACACCGATGCGTCATCGATGTACTACAGTCCATTGCCGCTTCACAAATTGTGACGTCAACACAATGTAGATTTTAAACCCGGAAGATGAAAATAGCGCAAAGCTTAAAATTAACCAGTTTTCTCCAACAGTTAAAATTATGGGATGCTAACATTGTCTTCTATGACGTGCAACACAAACGCCTCTGCTAAAATCTCAGAAAAAGTAGTCTGGTGTTTCATGACCCTTTAAAAGAAATAAAAGTAGCATTCTGCTGTTGGAGAGTGTTGTTATATAAACTACAGCAGTGCTCGTGCATTAAATCATTAACCGGTGCTAAACTGAGTATTTAACAACTCGAACCATCAATGTATGAATCAAACTCACTTAGACAGCCAACAGTTTCTTTTCTACGCATCATTTTTTATATCCATGTATGTGGTTACAGTAAAATCATATAAAACAGTGAAATCGCTCAGCTTAAGTCATATCACGATAATGATTTTTTTCTGTTCTGCCCTGTGTGACTGTGTGGTTGCACTGTTAGTCTTTTAGCTTTGAGCTCATCTTCGCAGCACAAATAGAGATTTCAAATGTCCTATCAGCTGCTCTCTAGAGTGAGAATGAGCCGCTCTGACCAATCAGGATTCATGCCGGTGACGAAACTAAAGAAAAGTACCCAGAATGCTCCAGATGCAGCACAGCGATCACCTGCTAGTCATGTTCCACTCCAGCATGGGATTCTGGGAACTCCTTTCCCCGTCTGCAGGAGAGCCGCCCGCTGACCCCTCGCGCTCCGGCCGCAGCTCGTCCCAGTGAGCCGTGCCCATGTTGATGCACTGCAGGTCAGTCTGATACTGATGGTCCTCGACCTCTGACCCCGGGTCACGCAGAACGCCCAGATTCAGCACCCATCTGAGAGAGAGAGAGAGAGATGAGGTGTAATCAGTGCTGCCCAGGTAAAAAATAAAATTAAAAAAAGTACTTAAAGTGCTCTATTTTCGCGCACTAATTTTGTACCTAATATACTAAAAAATTATTCTTTAGTACTTCTTAAGATAAACTTAAGATCATCTAAGTGTACTCAACTGTGCTATTTTGGGACACCGTGAATATGAACTGCTTTTAACTCCCCGGGGCCGAACACCAGCGCGACCAGCTCACGATTTTTAAGATCAGTGCGAAAGATACTAAAAATGCTCTGTTGATAGCGTCTGTCTCAGCAAATCAACACATGCTGTTGTGAATAATTAAGCGAAGCGTCTTCTCATTGGATAAGAACACGCAGTCTCATGAATAATTTAATAGACACCGATGCGTCATCGATGTACTACAGTCCATTGCCGCTTCACAAATTGTGACGTCAACACAATGTAGATTTTAAACCCGGAAGATGAAAATAGCGCAAAGCTTAAAATTAACCAGTTTTCTCCAACAGTTAAAATTATGGGATGCTAACATTGTCTTCTATGACGTGCAACACAAACGCCTCTGCTAAAATCTCAGAAAAAGTAGTCTGGTGTTTCATGACCCTTTAAAAGAAATAAAAGTAGCATTCTGCTGTTGGAGAGTGTTGTTATATAAACTACAGCAGTGCTCGTGCATTAAATCATTAACCGGTGCTAAACTGAGTAATTAACAACTCGAACCATCAATGTATGAATCAAACTCACTTAGACAGCCAACAGTTTCTTTTCTACGCATCATTTTTTATATCCATGTATGTGGTTACAGTAAAATCATATAAAACAGTGAAATCGCTCAGCTTAAGTCATATCACGATAATGATTTTTTTCTGTTCTGCCCTGTGTGACTGTGTGGTTGCACTGTTAGTCTTTTAGCTTTGAGCTCATCTTCGCAGCACAAATAGAGATTTCAAATGTCCTATCAGCTGCTCTCTAGAGTGAGAATGAGCCGCTCTGACCAATCAGGATTCATGCCGGTGACGAAACTAAAGAAAAGTACCCAGAATGCTCCAGATGCAGCACAGCGATCACCTGCTAGTCATGTTCCACTCCAGCATGGGATTCTGGGAACTCCTTTCCCCGTCTGCAGGAGAGCCGCCCGCTGACCCCTCGCGCTCCGGCCGCAGCTCGTCCCAGTGAGCCGTGCCCATGTTGATGCACTGCAGGTCAGTCTGATACTGATGGTCCTCGACCTCTGACCCCGGGTCACGCAGAACGCCCAGATTCAGCACCCATCTGAGAGAGAGAGAGAGAGAGAGAGAGAGATGAGGTGTAATCAGTGCTGCCCAGGTAAAAAATAAAATTTTAAAAAGTACTTAAAGTGCTCTATTTTCGCGCACTAATTTTGTACCTAATATACTAAAAAATTATTCTTTAGTACTTCTTAAGATAAACTTAAGATCATCTAAGTGTACTCAACTGTGCTATTTTGGGACACCGTGAATATGAACTGCTTTTAACTCCCCGGGGCCGAACACCAGCGCGACCAGCTCACGATTTTTAAGATCAGTGCGAAAGATACTAAAAATGCTCTGTTGATTTTGGTCACACAAATAAGTGTTATATATCATTCGAAACTGTTAAGTATCTACTTTTATTTGTGTGAACTCACACGAACAACAAAAGTTTGTGCTTTTGTAAAATAAAGAAAACAAACAGGGATCGTTCTCGGTCTTCTCTGTCTCCGCGAATATCCATCTGAATCTCGTCACTAAAATTAACTGAAACACACAGGCATGAGAGACATATCTATAGAAAGCTTGGAGTGTCTACTTTTAAATTAAGTAAAAGTATTTGTAGAAGTATTTGAAGTATTTGTCTTATCGAAAACAAATATTCTGTGATAAAGTAATCCGTATGAAACCAATGCGATGTTCAGTCTTTCCCGTCTAAACTCATTATCTCTAATGAGATCCCGCCCACGCGTGGCTTACGCGCTTCATATGATAATATCCACGCGAGACGCGCGCACATGTAAACGCCCAACGTAAACAAAGCGTGAGGATAGTCAAGTTCATCGCGGTTCCTAATTAATGCTGTACAGTTGCTTTGACACAATCTGTATTGTTAAAAGCGCTATATAAATAAAGGTGACTTGACACACTCACAGACAAACAGACACACACACACATATACGCAGACAGACACACACACACACACACACACACACACACACACACGGCTCCCACGCTCCCACTCCCACACATGAACTCCGATCGGATCTCTGGAACATTTGTGGGCAGTAAAACAAACACGCGGCGCTTTATAAGGTGCCACATCTGCTACTATTAAAACAATCAAACAGCGACGCTCTAATATTTATGGTGGGCAGTGGATTAGACAGAGGGAACTCTGGGATTACTGCCGGCACACGATTGAAGCGTATCTGCTGAAGATCCTGTTACCTGAACAGGTGCCAGAGAGATCACATGACCTCCACTGTAACCCATCCGTACAGCAGAGACCTCCACGGCTAACGCTCACGACTAGCAGACATATTCTACTTCCTGTCAGGGGATCATGTGATCTTGGGCTGGTCGGCTGCCGGGTGTTCTTCTTCGTCGTCCAGAGATGACTCTGGTACAGTACAGGACCAAAGAGAGACACTGGCTAACACAGCATGCTAACATCACCTGATCGCTCTGATTCACTCAGTCTGCTCGGGAGTTCTCAAAACTGAACATGAAGTTTGGGATCTTTAAAGCTTCTGTTTTGTTAGCTACATTATAAACTTGGTGAAATGGGTGACAACGTTACTCCTATATGCATTTAAGCTCCGTTAACACTGCCAGCGACTTTTTCGTTGTATGTCGCTAGACTCTGTGCTGTGAAGCGTTCCTACTGCTGTCGCTCTAATGTTAATGGTAGACTGCACGTCTGGACATATCTGGACATATAAAATGCAATCACAAACTATATATTGTCGGTAAAACTAAGATATCATTCTATTATGACTAGGAATTAGACTTAAAGGGTCATGAAACCCCCCGTTTCAGCATTGGTTAGTTCTCACCACAGTTTTAAAAAATGCTAAAAAAGTGTGCGTGGTGCGGAGCGGAGGAGGGGGAGGAGGGGAGACAGAACACACACAGCTTAGCGTTCAGACGGTTTCATTTCGTTACCATCGAGTTAAAAACACAAATAAATGCACAGCCATTTGCACTCTGCATCGAAAAACATATATATGAACGCGCTGTTGCACCTCTGAGAACTTTTAAGGCTTCGCATTTGTGCTGAACTCTTATTACAAAGCAAAAACAAACACTCTTCTTCCATCCATGAAGGTTTCTCTCAGTTATTGTGCTCGATGTCATCTCACAGTCTGAAGCGTCTGTCTCAGCAAATCAACACATGCTGTTGTGAATAATTAAGCGAAGCGTCTTCTCATTGGATAAGAACACGCAGTCTCATGAATAATTTAATAGACACCGATGCGTCATCGATGTACTACAGTCCATTGCCGCTTCACAAATTGTGACGTCAACACAATGTAGATTTTAAACCCGGAAGATGAAAATAGCGCAAAGCTTAAAATTAACCAGTTTTCTCCAACAGTTAAAATTATGGGATGCTAACATTGTCTTCTATGACGTGCAACACAAACGCCTCTGCTAAAATCTCAGAAAAAGTAGTCTGGTGTTTCATGACCCTTTAAAAGAAATAAAAGTAGCATTCTGCTGTTGGAGAGTGTTGTTATATAAACTACAGCAGTGCTCGTGCATTAAATCATTAACCGGTGCTAAACTGAGTAATTAACAACTCGAACCATCAATGTATGAATCAAACTCACTTAGACAGCCAACAGTTTCTTTTCTACGCATCATTTTTTATATCCATGTATGTGGTTACAGTAAAATCATATAAAACAGTGAAATCGCTCAGCTTAAGTCATATCACGATAATGATTTTTTTCTGTTCTGCCCTGTGTGACTGTGTGGTTGCACTGTTAGTCTTTTAGCTTTGAGCTCATCTTCGCAGCACAAATAGAGATTTCAAATGTCCTATCAGCTGCTCTCTAGAGTGAGAATGAGCCGCTCTGACCAATCAGGATTCATGCCGGTGACGAAACTAAAGAAAAGTACCCAGAATGCTCCAGATGCAGCACAGCGATCACCTGCTAGTCATGTTCCACTCCAGCATGGGATTCTGGGAACTCCTTTCCCCGTCTGCAGGAGAGCCGCCCGCTGACCCCTCGCGCTCCGGCCGCAGCTCGTCCCAGTGAGCCGTGCCCATGTTGATGCACTGCAGGTCAGTCTGATACTGATGGTCCTCGACCTCTGACCCCGGGTCACGCAGAACGCCCAGATTCAGCACCCATCTGAGAGAGAGAGAGAGAGATGAGGTGTAATCAGTGCTGCCCAGGTAAAAAATAAAATTAAAAAAAGTACTTAAAGTGCTCTATTTTCGCGCACTAATTTTGTACCTAATATACTAAAAAATGATTCTTTAGTACTTCTTAAGATAAACTTAAGATCATCTAAGTGTACTCAACTGTGCTATTTTGGGACACCGTGAATATGAACTGCTTTTAACTCCCCGGGGCCGAACACCAGCGCGACCAGCTCACGATTTTTAAGATCAGTGCGAAAGATACTAAAAATGCTCTGTTGATTTTGGTCACACAAATAAGTGTTATATATCATTCGAAACTGTTAAGTATCTACTTTTATTTGTGTGAACTCACACGAACAACAAAAGTTTGTGCTTTTGTAAAATAAAGAAAACAAACAGGGATCGTTCTCGGTCTTCTCTGTCTCCGCGAATATCCATCTGAATCTCGTCACTAAAATTAACTGAAACACACAGGCATGAGAGACATATCTATAGAAAGCTTGGAGTGTCTACTTTTAAATTAAGTAAAAGTATTTGTAGAAGTATTTGAAGTATTTGTCTTATCGAAAACAAATATTCTGTGATAAAGTAATCCGTATGAAACCAATGCGATGTTCAGTCTTTCCCGTCTAAACTCATTATCTCTAATGAGATCCTGCCCACGCGTGGCTTACACGCTTCATATGATAATATCCACGCGAGACGCGCGCACATGTAAAAGCCCAACGTAAACAAAGCGTGAGGATAGTCAAGTTCATCGCGGCTACTGTTAGCTTCTGGAAGACACGCTGTGAGGAATAAGCCAGAATTGACCTCTTTAGAAAAAGAACCAGACGCGACGCGAGCTTCATCCAGAGGAGGAGATCACTCTGATGAGTAAGTAATGTTTCTTTTTTGCATTAGTTAACGAGTCTTTGTGACATAAGTGAACACATTTACTGGCTGGGTTTTTCCCAAACTATAATTCCTGACTAAAATGTTTGAAATCGAGTAAAACATTTTGAATATGATGGGCAGTTCACTGTATCTAAATTTCTTATTGCGCGATGATGTTTTCATCCTCTATATAATATAAAACAATAGCCTATATAAACTAATATGAGTGTACACTGTAACATGATGATTGCTACGAGTCTAAGATTGTTTAGACCATGCTTATTGTTAATATTCCGTTCACAAATATATTTTTATAACGTGCTAAACAATAATAATTTGTTTCTCAGATATAAAATGTCCTTTTTTTCGATAGTACAAAGCATGCGTGAGTCTGACTACAAAAGATGCTCCTGATGCTTCCTGAATTTTTTATTTTGTTGTTATTGTTTGTTTTTTAGTGATCAGATAGCTGCAGTACAGATGAATCCTGCTGACTTTCACTGGAGTCTCTTCAAACTGTTTTCCTCTGAGAGCGCTGTACCAGCATCAGATGTTCAGCTACACTGATATTATATGGTAAAACAAGCTCCTTGACTACTGATGATGTTTGTTTTCTTGAATCCGTGGAAAGAAGCAGCAAACACTTAAATATCAGATATGGTTTACTTGTTTCACTTGTTGAACAGAATCTGTTTTCAGGAAGGACTCAAAGTCTGTTCACATCTCTGTATGTTTTGATTATACTGTGCTATAAATAAAATACAAATTCTTTGTTACCTGCCTCACAGTCACAGGACTCACTGATGGGCCGTTAGGGGAGGGGCCCTTTGTCTCTCAGGTGTGAATCACTAAATATTCATGGCCATTGTCACTCCCTCGCATAAAGCTGGTCTATCACAAAACATGTCTTACAAAATGTAAATCAATATATCATTTTCTGTGAACGAGTAAGCAGAATGATTTTCTAGCCTACAAGACTGATTACTCAAAAGTCTTATTTAGAACTATTCAGTATGGGTTTTATGGCCTTATTTCAGCTACATTTTCCTCAAAATCTTACTCTTATTATTTACTCTTACTCTAATTATTTATTTCCCAAAATACTATCTCTGTATTTAAAAAAAATGTATTTAGTCACCACTTGTAGTACACTTGAACCCATCTTTCATTCACTAGTACACTCAAGTGTACTACAAGTGGTTACTAAATACATTTTATAAATACAGAGATAGTATGTTAAAAGCACATTTTAGTTCATATTCACGGTGTCCCAAAATAGCACAGTTGAGTACACTTAGATGATCTTAAGTTTATCTTAAGAAGTACTAAAGAATCTTTTTAGGATATCAAGTACAAAATTAGTGCGTGATAATAGAGCACTTTAAGTACATTATGGAAGTGCACTTTTTTAACCTGGATAAAGCAGGACAGTAACACACATTTAGGTTACACTTTCTACTAATTGTAAGTAACTTTGTAACTACATGTCAACTAATTCTCATTAATTTGCAACGACATGTCTACTAACTCTCAGAGTAGACTGCTAGGGTAGGTTTAGAATAAGTTGAAGATATTAAGCAGACAGTCTACTAATACTCTACTAACTGCTAGCTGACATGTAGTTGCAAAGTTACTTGCTGTTAATAGAATGTCTAAAGTGGACTATCGAAATGAAGTGTTACCCACATTTACACTCACACAGGTTTGTTTTTGTGAAAAGTGGGGACTCTCCATAGGTGTAATGGTTTTTATACTGTACAGACCGTATATTCTATTGCCCTACACCAACCCTACCCCTAAACCTACCCCTCACAGGAGACTTTCTGCTATTTCAGATTTTCAATACACTCCATTCTGTGTGATTTATAAGCGTTTTGAAAAGTGGGGACATGGGGTAATGTCCTGAAAAGTCACCTTCTCCTTGTAATACCTATGTTATACCTTTGTCATTATACACATTTATGTCCTCATTTGTCACAAAAACGCGCGCACACACACACACACACACACACACAGGTTTGTTTTTGTGAAAAGTGGGGACTCTCCATAGGCGTAATGGTTTTTATACTGTACAGACCGTATATTCTATTGCCCTACACCAACCCTACCCCTAAACCTACCCCTCACAGGAGACTTTCTGCTATTTCAGATTTTCAATACACTCCATTCTGTGTGATTTATAAGCGTTTTGAAAAGTGGGGACATGGGGTAATGTCCTGAAAAGTCACCTTCTCCTTGTAATACCTGTCATACCTTTGTCATTATACACATTTATGTCCTCATTTGTCACAAAAACGCACACACACACACACACACACACACACACACACTGTGTAATATAGTAGCTGATGTCTTTCTCTGATGAGGGACACACACACGCTCTTACACACATTACTGTCATATCTCTCACTAGACACACTGAATGTGGGAAATCAGATCCTGCGCGCGTGTGTGTGTGTGTGATGTTGTGATGTGTTTATTTGCACTGGCCCGCTGCTCTGCCACTTTAAACATGGGCTGCGAGTCTAAATGCCTCCAGATGTGCTGAGCGCTAGAGGAGATCTGATGTTTCTCACCAGCGTTCATAAACATCTTCACGACTCGCTCACATCAACACTGATCACTGTTTCCATGGTGACAGCGATCAATCACATTCACAGTATCACAGGAGCTCAAGCTGAACACCAGACGAGATCACAAACCACATGATCAGCTATCAATACACACACACACACACACACACACACTCACACTCCCGAGCGCAAACGCACACACAGACACACACACACTCACTCACTCACTCACACACACACGCATGCATGCACACACATGCGCACACGCTCACACTCCCACACTCTCTCTCACACACACACACACACACTCTCTCTCACACACACACACATGCGCACACACTCACACTCCCACACACGCACACTCTCTCTCACACACACATATACACGCTCACACACTCACATACACACGCTCTCACACACATATACACACGCTCTCACACACATATACACACGCTCACACACACATATACACACGCTCTCACACACATATACACACGCTCACACACACATATACACACGCTC